ATCAGTATTTTCTAAAGCCGGTCTATGTGAATTTTTTTATAGTTAAATTTCTTCAATCCCTTCTCTAGTTTCCCATCAGTATTTTCAAAGCCGGTCTATGTGAATTTTTTTATAGTTAAATTTCTTCAATCCCTTCTTTAGTTTCCCATCAGTATTTTCAAAGCCGGTCTATGTGAATTTTTTTATAGTTAAATTCCTTCAATCCCTTCTCTAGTTTCCCGTCAGTATTTTCAAAGCCGGTCTATGTGAATTTTTTTATAGTTAAATTTCTTCCATCCCTTCTCTAGTTTCCCATCAGTATTTTCAAAGCCATCTTTCCTTAACAAATAGTAAATGAAGAAATATTTTTCTTCTCTTAGTCTAAAAACTGATCTTTCGTAGATCATTGTTTTAGTTATAACTTAGTACATGGTGATATACGACTAAGCCCTTGTTTTAGTTATAACTTAGTACATGGTGATATACGACTAAGCCCTTGTTTTAGTTATAACTTAGTACATGGTGATATAAGACTAAGCCCTCTTTCTGTCCATGTTTCTATCAAACTATTGCCACTTTTTATAATGCTCTAAAAGACAAAATTAACACATATTTTCTTATCTTTATGCAAAAGTTATAACTAAACCCAAATTCTCTCCTAATCCATAACCACACTCCATCATATTTAGAAAGGAACAGACCTGAAAGTTTAAGGTTTTCTAAAGAATATATACACTCATTTAAAAATAAGTTATTTCTATTTGCCAAATATACTAATATTGAATTTGGCGTTCCTTAACTGCAATGTTAGTATTTTCATTTCACATATAACTGTACTTTTATAAATGTTTTCTTAAGTTAATCTATAGCATAAAATGCTATAATAAAGTTACTAATTTGCATTTTTCTTTCATTGGTTTCAGTAAATTAAGAACTATTTTAAAACTTTTCGTTTATTTACAACATTTAGATTTCTTTCTTTAAAGTTTCCCGATATTCTTTACCCATACGATTGATGTTAATGTTTTATTTATCCTTCATGTCGAGTCTTAAGATCGTCTAAACTGTTTCTAGCTGCATCAGTTTTTTATTAACTTTGAAAGTGTTAGTTTAATGAGCATTGACTACTTAGAAGCCCCCCCTAGTGGCACAATGGTATGTCTGCGGACTTATACTGTTAGAAACCGGGGTTCGATACCCAGATAGCCTTTTGTGTGGCTTTGTGCTTAACAACAAACAACTAGCTAGAACGACCAAATTTTACACTATAACACAATTATGTACGATCTCAGAAACATCTCAGTTCATGAGATAGTCGGGCTTAGTGTGTCCTAACGGTGAATCCGAGGCTTGCATGGTTCACGTTTAAATCTCTCAAAAATGCGCCCCGCACTTTGGGACCGCGGTGCGTTGCAAGCTGTAAGAGTAACTGTTAAATCTCGCTATTTGTCAGAAAAGAGAAGCCCAAGATGTGACAGTGGGCGATGTTGACTAGCTGCTTTCCCTCTAGTCTAACAGTCCAAAGAATGGGACGGCTATGCGAGTTAGGCCTTATGTAGCTTTGCGCGAAAATTCTAAAAAAAATCTCTTTTCATGGAATATCGTTGTATAAGTGAATTTTTTACAGTTCTTTTTTGTTCATGAGGTAATCCCTTCTCTAGTTTTCCTTAAATATTTTTCTGTCAACAATTGTAAAAACAGTTGCCCATAAGAGTTGAGTCTCAGAGTTTATAACGCTAGAAATTGGGTTTTGATAGCCGCTGTGGGCATAGCACAGATAGCCCATAGTTTAGTTTTGCGCTTAACAACAAAACAAACTAGATAGTTTTACCTGGATAACTGTAGAAATATCTTGCTTCTCTAAATATTTTTTATCAGTAATTGTAGAGATATATCCCTTCTGTAAATAGTTGTCCCTCACCCGTATTAGCGGCAAGTCTGACGACTTATACAACGTTTCAATACCTGCGGAGGCACAGCACATATAACCCATTGTTTATCCTTGTGCTTGACGATAAAACAAACAAACAAACCTTTTTCTAAACATTTCTCGTAAGTAGGTGTAGACATATCTTCCTACTATAAACAGCCTCACGTCAGTAACTGTAGAAACACCTTCCTACTGTAAACTTTCTCACGTCAGTAACTGTAGAAACATATTGTTACTGTAAACCTTCTCACGTCAGTAGCTGTAGAAACATCTTCCTACTGTAAACTTTCTCACGTCAGTAACTGTAGAAACATATTGTTACTGTAAACCTTCTCACGTCAGTAACTGTAGAAACACCTTCCTACTGTAAACTTTCTCACGTCAGTAACTGTAGAAACATATTGTCACTGTAAACCTTCTCACGTCAGTAACTGTAGAAACATATTGTTACTGTAAACATTCTCACGTCAGTAACTGTGGAATCATCTTGTTACTGTAAACCTTCTCACGTCAGTAACTGTAGAAACATATTGTTACTGTAAACATTCTCACGTCAGTAACTGTGGAATCATCTTGTTACTGTAAACCTTCTCACGTCAGTAACTGTGGAAACATATTGTTACTGTAAACCTTCTCACGTCAGTAACTGTAGAAACATCTTCCTACTGTAAACCTTCTAACGTCAGTAACTGTAGAAACATCTTGTTACTGTAAACCTTCTCACATTAGTAACTGTAGAAACATCTTGTTACTGTAAACCTTCTCACATTAGTAACTGTAGAAGCATCTTGTTACTGTAAACCTTCTCACGTCAGTAACTGTAGAAACATATTGTTACTGTAAACCTTCTCACGTCAGTAACTGTAGAAACATCTTGTTACTGTAAACCTTCTCACATTAGTAACTGTAGAAACATCTTGTTACTGTAAACCTTCTCACATTAGTAACTGTAGAAGCATCTTGTTACTGTAAACCTTCTCACGTCAGTAACTGTAGAAACATCTTGTTACTGTAAACCTTCTCACGTCAGTAACTGTAGAAGCATCTTCCTACTGTAAACATTCTCACGTTAGTAACTGTAGAAGCATATTGTTACTGTAAACCTTCTCACGTCAGTAACTGTAGAAGCATCTTGTTACTGTAAACCTTCTCACGTCAGTAACTGTAGAAACATATTGTTACTGTAAACCTTCTCACGTCAATAACTGTAGAAACACCTTGCTACTGAAAACCGTTTCATATGTGTTCAGTAAAGTAATAGTTTATTTTCTTGAAACATCACAGATTAGTCTACCATGCCAGTTTTAAAATGAATTCGTTTTCTCTTTGTATTTTCACTGACTTTTATTTTCTTTATCATTCACTCACCTCACTAGCTTATTTGTTTTCTCTCTCTCTCTCTTTCATTCTCTCGATATTTTAGAATATGCATTTTACTTTCTCAAGCTGACATTTTTGTTCTGTTTCTCGGATCTCTATTTATCTTTCACTTATTATCATTTTAGTTTAATTTTTGATATCCTTATTTAATTTCCAACTTTTCGCTCAGTGGTAAGTCTGAAGACTTATACAACACTAAAATTAACAGCAAACAAACGAACTTAATTTTGTTTTAAGTATACATTTATATCCATTTTCTTATTCTTATTTCTACTATGTTCATTTTTACTTTTCGACTATTGTGACGTGACTATTACCGCATCGTCCAACTTGTATCTATCACATTAACTCTATCTATTATTAATACATTATTTTTCGGTTTTTCTTGTTCATCACAGTTTTTCTTTGCTAATTCTTTATACCGTGTCTATTCAACCTACTTTCTTTCTATCTTAGCTTTTATCACAATATTTTTCATCCTACTTCTTTCCATTTTTCTCTTTAGTCTCTCCCACCCATGTCCCCCACACTATGTATATTCTAGCTTCCCTGCACCTTAAAATTTGACTGTATCTCCTATATTCATTTTTAAAGTCTCTAATTCAGGTATTTGCTTTTGACATTTCCCTTGTGGCTGTTCACTAACACTTATTCTCTCCAGCTTTCTCTAACTGACTTTTCGCGCTTCCTTGCCTCACTCTGCAATAACCAACTGTCACTTTAGCTCTTAGTACTTCTTTGTTGTTTACTTTCACCAGCTTTCTTTTTGACGATATTTTTCATGACGCTGTTTCTCCACTCTGTCTTTTCCCATTCCCACCTATTATATATATTTTTTTATTTCTAAAAATTGATTCATATTTTGTAAGCTTCCTCTCATTTCCCTACATTTTTGTTGTTACTCTACATGTTATGAACACTCGTAGAATAAAATGCAATACAACTAAAGACTCTCTTGTTACTTTTGCCTCACTTTCAGTTATTTACAGTATCTGGTGGTAGCAGCTGTCTATAAAATCAACCCCAATCCAAATGTCGTAATCTCTTTCCTAGAACCTTGATTGGAAAGCTCCGGAGAAATAGGAAAATAACTGGATAAACACAACATGTATTTAGTCATATCCAAAGCTATGTATGTGTTGGCTGAGCGGGATAATCAGTTCCGCTGTAGTAAACAGGTGTTCCTTACACCCAAACAGTTTTTGCAGTATTAATCTTGACTTGTTTTGAAACCCAAAGTTTCTTTCTTTGCCATTGATTCGCTGCCCAGTAGCGGTGTAGGAGGAAACAACTGCTCGTAGCGCCATCTCAAAGGACCACAAACGTATATAAATAAAAAGGCTACCAGCTTTAGAATTGAAAACGCAGGAGAGATCTTCTCACGCTCAACAAGTTCTGTGGTGGTGCACTTTACCGATCCGCCCTCTCCAGTATCCTTCCTCACAGAGATCCAAGGTAAGCCAAATTCATTATCAAAATAGTAGCTAACTGTAATTGGTTTAAATTTATTCCTTGATATTGAAATCTAAATGTTAGCTTAACGTTACAGCTTAGCACTAAATAATCATGAATCATATTCGCATCTTTGAATCCACTAATTTGCTACATATCCCTGACGGTTAGTGTGGTCTTTCTAAATGTGAATTTCTAAAAACCTACAGGTTTTGTAACTAAAAGTTAGCTTTCAATTTTACTACTCATCCCATCAAGAAGCGAAAAACAACAACAACAACAACCAAAACTAACAATAGACCACCAAGTTTAGCAGCAAAGCCCAATAGCCTGATCCACTCTTTCAGTGTGGATGTCTGTGTGTTTAAAAAATGCACAACTGAAGTTGTATTTTTTATATACTGCTAGAATAGTTATAGTTGAAAAGTATGAAGAGTTATAATGTCCATACAAATGAAAGAATCATAAAAAATCAGACAGTAATAGGAAACCCTTAAGTTAATAAACCATATGTAAATGTATGAAGGACGAAATAAATCTTAAAGTAGTACCTAAAGTTACTCCAGTACTGTCCAAGTCAGCTGTAACTTTCTACAATTCACGTTCTGTGATTACGGGAAGTATTCTCTAACAAGTGCTTCAAAAAACAAAAACAAGCAAATTGAAGTACGAACTTTCACTGTACAAGAACTCCTGGCATTATACGATTTGAACATTTTGTCAGAATTTATAAAAGTCTCTCTTGGTTCAACAGTTTCTTTCATCTCTTCACTAACAACAGTAACGTAACTAGTGATATTTTACAGACAACAACACTAAAAAGTTCTTGTTTTGTTTTTCATCCAGAATTCCAGGGCATATTAAAAAGGGTTCTAAATCTGAAAATCTGAACCATTTTTTTTAAAAGAAAGAAAAAAGAAAACGATTTAGTTTCAAATGTAGCACTAAATTCTTATTCCATGTTCCATAACGCATTTGTCCTTAATGTTGTTCGACTTTATTTTTATTTTTTTCGAGACTAGAGTTTCATAATACAATGAAAGTAGCTATGTGTACTGCCAAAACCATTGTCCTCAGTGGTTGCATGGCTCGAAACTGATAAACTATAACTAGATTTAGTCCCAGTTTCTTAAAATGTATAGAATATAAAAAACTCTAGTCTTTAAATCGTAAATAATCCCGTTAGGTCAGTGGTAATTTTACAGAATTACAACGCTAAAATCTGGGGTTCGAATCCCCGAGGTAGACACAGTAAGTATCCCCCTATGGCTTTGTTCTAAGACAAATCGTAAATAATTTGCTTACAATTTAGATCACATGAATTACTTAAGTTTTGAATGACACTTGTTTTTCTTGCTTAAAAGATATCTGAGATTTCAATTAGGGTATAATGAATAACCATTACATATAGAAAAAATATCAGTTTTTTCTTAAAATATAGAAAAACAACTTCGTCTTGCTACTTTCTTAAGTGGTTAACACCATTGATTACGTGCAAGGCTATAATCACTTCTACCATCCTCCTGAGAAAGCCCAAACGTCCATAAATATCCTTCTTTAACGGTTTACACATTTTTGTAGGTTAATGATTATAGATGTTTATAGACTCTTTCCTACACATTAGCTGTTATAAATGTTATTTTTCAAGGTGTGTGTATCATCCGTCACATTATATACACTGTCTTCTTAAAATCATCTACAAATCAATCTCTGCAAACATTTTCTAGAGATTACTTCTTAGCGTTCTATGATTAGTGATTCTACTCTGAACATTCAATACTATACAGATTATTTATTATAGCACAGAACTAATAGGTCGTAAAGAAATGAATGTTGCTTTTTCTAGATGAAAAAACCCGAACAACTTATATATCAAAACGAAACATTTATTAAATGAAA